TGAAAACAACTAGAAATCTAATTGAGACCAATGATACATGTCTCACTGTATTAAGACAAATAACTAAAGTTAGTATCTTACAAAGTTCATATTTGGCCTGTGTAAAGTAGGTACCTCATGTTATCAGTAATAGGAAAAATCACTGAATTGATCCTGTAGACATTAATTACACTTTCACAAATCACTTTTTGACCCTTGTATTTTACTTGGTTTATTCAACCATATTTATGAGGTCAAATAAGTTGCCAGTTACAAAGCTTGATCTTAACTAAAGCAGGAAATTAATAAAGTTTGGATATTGCCTTTCCTCATTTTCTTGTACTTTTTGGGGTTGATTGTGCTTTCTATAACGTCAAATCCACAGTTCAGTTTCAGAAGTGATCAACAACAGCTAAGATAGCAGTGTCAACATATAAAGAAATGCCTCTGCAGAAACCGTAAGAACATGTATTAAATACAAGCACTATCATGAAGGAAATTTCCACTGGCAGCATTCTTTCCAGTGACAGGAACAGACATGTAAGTATATAAGATATATTTTGCTTCATATTTTCTACCTGTCCCATGTTCACTTTTTTCCTACAATTTTACTTTATCATTCCTATAGAAAAGGAATATTTTTGTTGACAATAAGCAACCTAGACTAGAAAAAAATGTGTATAGATTAAAAAAAAAAAATAATAAAGACCTCAAATTATGGATTTAATCCTGTCCAGCTCCCACTGAGTTCTTATACTAATCTCCATTCTGTCTTTGTCTAACCTCATAAATTAAAAGCGCTACCTGTAGAAATGTTGGATTTTTCTTTTCTTTTTAGTCTCACATTTTTATTTCATTTTTTTGAAAGCCATGCTACAAACATTCAGTCCTGACAGTTAGTTCCTTATTTTCTCTGTCATTCCACATAAGTCAACAAACATATTTGTGGAGGAACTTACTTGCAACAGAGTTAGGGAAATCCAAGCCAGAGCAGTGTAATGGATCAGCTTTCTAAAGATCCCCGTGGGGCCAGAATTTAGTCTAGAAAATAAGAGTCTGTAAAATCTTGTCATTGAGCTACTTTTCATACACATTTATTTGGAAAAAAGGTAGACAAAGAAACATTACACAAACATTGAACATCAGGTGCTGACTCCATTTCCCTCACCTGATAAACTGATAAATCATGAGACATCATTTGGTTTGGGCTACAACTTAACATTCGGTAAATCTCAACTAGTTTAAAAGTGGTTTTATGGGTATGCTTCAATGTAAACCTTACAAGATCCTTTCAAAAATCATCTTGACCTTCCCTATCTTTTTCTAAGTTAACCCAATTCCAAAGCTATCAGAATTCATTCTAAAAATCTGGGGTTTCATCACTCTCCGGTAAAATGTCAGCAGCTGTATCTCAAGTGGGGTAATTTTACAGTATTCTAATAATGTCCCTGTAAACACACAGTAATGGTGAAGGCTAGTCCAATTTCTCTTCAAGGTATCAACCTTTTTGTCTTGTCTCCACCAGCATCCCTTCCCACATATGCACACTCTTCTTTTCCTCATTTCTAGGAAACTCTCTACAATCTACTTGGATTGGAGAATGATATTAGATGGAGAATGATATTAGAAACTTAGTCAATAACCCATGCTTTGAAAGGTTATTATATTCAAAAGGCAGGTTTTTCTTTCCAGATATTTTTGACCTACCGGTATTTTTTTAAAGTCATTTCCCTAAAACACGGGTCTCCCTCAGCTGAAAAAAAATGGTAGATTTGTCAGCCTCTAAGGAAGACTGAAGGTTTCATGTAACCTTTATACTAAACAGTCCCTGTAACAAATGCGGAAGATGCATCTCATGGGTGTCAGAAGAGAGTTCCTATAGTTTTCCAGGTAAACTGCGATGGCATATTAGACATCATGGGAAAGACAGGTTGCTTGTGAACACCTTCCCAACATTCTTGAACTGGAAGGCTTAATGATCTTCTGCACACTAGCACCCTCAGTTTTGCTCTGAAGATTCCTTATCATATGATGATGCTGAATAAGGTGGCTAATCCCCTATGCTCTTTAGTGTCACTGGAGATAACCAAACAGAATTCCTGTCTGTTTGTAAAGCCTTCCTCAAGTATTAATAAGACCTCAATATGGGGCACAAACCTTCTATTTTTTAACAAATACTGCATGCTTTCTCTGTTCATTACAAAGGTAGGATATAGGCAGAGGATTCTGGTCTTACATTCAGCACATCTCTATTGAACTAGTCTCCAGGAAGAAAAATGTGGTATTTTCTCAATGGACAATGTACAAATAGATGGTCATTGCAATTTAATAATTTATTATAAAGTTTTGTGTTTCTAATATGAAGTCAAATTACAATTTTATTCTGAAAGCTGCATATTTTTGCTAATAAAAGTGTTGTCCTAATTCAGAATTACTGCTTATATATATAAGTATACATTCAGAAGTAACACTTTTTAAATGTTTTTTACTGTTTGACTTCTTTTGCTTCAGTGGTAGTTACTCCTGAGCACCAGTAGATGGCTCTGCTTGCAGCCAGTCTTAAAGGTGTGGCAGCCGGGTAACCCATACTGCCAACAGTGAAGAGGAAAAAATGAGATATGCTAGAGAGCTAAGGAGCTTATATTCCAACTACTTTCAATCGGATTTAGAAGCTTTCAAAAGCATTATCAACTATCACTTCCTTTTACTGATGGTTGTTTAGAACAATTTTTTCTTGTTGTGTCTAATGTCTAAGGTTTTATGATTGATATTTAACTACTTAATGATGTATAAGTAAAAATTAATACACTACACATATATGTACAACAATACAAAATTTATCGGTTTTGTTGAACTGTTTTCCTGAAAGAAATTCTATATAAAATATATATATATAAATTTTATATATATATATATAATCTATTATATAAAAAATTCTCATCAACTGTAGCATGCTTTCAGAAAGTCCCCTTCTTTAATTGCACACAACTTTATCAATTAAGAGCATGAAAGCTTCTTCAGCTTTATTGACATTTGGGATAAGGGAAGAATTTTAGACTGTATATAGCAAAAGCTGTAAGTTTTGAAATCACATCTAAATTCAGGCAGATATGTAAATACTATCTGTTGCAAAGAAAAAATGTGTATAAATACAGTCAATAATAGTTTTTTCAATAGATACACAGGTGTAAGTTTACCTCTGACTGGAATAGGTGGTTCTCTGGTTTATTGAATAACATGGGGTAAGTAACTAATCCATCATATAGACAGAGAAGTTGTGATATGTATAACTATGTTTTCACTCTTAGAAATCATAAAAAGAGATTTATAATAGCTACTAATTAAATGTTTGCCACAAAAATGTTCCAACAGAAGATACATTGGATGTGATCAAGATCAAATCATTTTCACATTCTCCTATTTTATTCAGGTGTTGTTGACATTGGGTTTCATAAGCATCACTCCTTTGCCTGCTGTGGAAATATTCTTCCTTAGATCACTATACAAAAGATTAGAAATAGCAGTGTCAAAATATTTGATATTTTTAAATAATAGAATAATCAAAATATATAAAATAATAAATTTTTATAAATAGAAAATTTATAAATCCTTTTTAATTAACACTTAGGTAATACAATCAGAAGTGATTGATGCTTTAGTTTTTATAAATAGTATTTGTGTTTTTCAGGCCAAGACACTACAGCAAATAAAATTCTCACAAAGTGATCAGAAAGATCCTTCAAAAGGACCATTTTTCATATAAGTTTCAGCTATATCAGCTTGGTTCTTCCTGACATAGCCATATCATTCTAATAATTATCGCTTATATTGGTATGGATCTGAATTTAAAAATTCTTGCTGATGCACTTACTGAGCTGGGTTCCTTCCTTATACTAGTTAGTCTTGTTTACAATTATGTTAATATTTTACCAGGGCTTAAAATTCAACATGATTTACAGTGTACAAACTTCAGTCTTGACTGCCTCAACAGCACTGCTACAAGTTCTGTTGTTCCCGTTTGCTTGCTTACCGCCAGCATCCTGTAGGCAGGTACAAGAGAAAAATGCATTGAGCTGTGCCTTCCTCCACTTTCACCGCTCTCTAATCTGGTGTGGACTGTACCTGCCGCCAGCAAGGCAGCAACTGAAAAGCGTCAGGGAACCACGTTACATTAGACCCTTCCAGCTGTGAGTGATTAGCTCAGCCCATGATACTGAATCATTGTATAGAACTGGGATGTCTTTGAAGAAACCCCAATGGAATCTACACACAAGTTCCTGGCAATCAGTAAGTGCTGGCTTCCCTTTATTTACTGCAAGCTGTTTTCATCTCTCTATACGCTTCTGATTTTTCACAACTTCTATGTACAAATGTATCAGACTCCTTGGTTTTAAGATTTCAGGGAGACTGCTTTTTAGAGCGAAATACTGTGGGCAACCAAAAACTTTAAATTTCCATTGACTTCAGAGTCCCTGGACTACTGAGTGGGATTTGATTTGTAACTTGGTTGTCATGTTGGCGTTTTCTCTCATGTGTTTTAAACTTTCTATTACACAGAAGGTAGACTTTTTATATACTAGGAGTTTTACTGTTAAGAAAAATCTATGCTTGCATAGAGATCTTTACAGATATTTTATGTTTTAATAAGGATTTATTTACTACTCTTTCAGAGTCAAAATATGTTTCTGTTATTAAATGCATTGCACATAAATACATATAAAATAAAAATTGGATACAGATATATACAGTCATCCAGTTAAGTGTAGCTTTACTTTAATAACTACTGTAAATGTCCCCTAGAGCAACTGTACATACTATGTCCTCAGTAAAAAGGGCTTGAACTTGCATTCTTGTACGAGCCAGCAGTATTGTTTCCTTACCTGCTAAAGTTACTTAACCAGTTTGACCAGGATCTAGTATCCTCTAGATTGAAGACTTAACTACTCTGTAGAGAGCAGTCCCTTTCCACAGCCAGCCGAGTAAACATTCACACTTCTTCCTAGGCGAAGCAGTAACAGTTCATGGAGCTGCCCTTCACAAATCTTGAAGTAGCTTTCATCTTGCTGGCTTTTGTTATTTTCTCCTTGTTTACCCTGGCTTCCATCTACAGTGACCCCCATGGCAACAAAGAAGGTAATAATCTAAAATAAATATAGTATTTTATAGGTTTTACTAATACTCTAATTATAGGTTTTGTGATCAATCTTGCTGGTAGACTTGCAGTACCTGACTCTAGCTTTACGAATACCATACAGAGGGCAGAAAGCAATCAGTTAAGGCGTCAATAAAAGTCACAAGCATAGAAATTGTGCTAAGGTGTGAGAGCAAGACATTTTACAGCCGGCTCTGCCCACTCAGGCAGAGCTGTGCCACGCAGCTGAGAGCAGCACTATGAGCAGCCTCCCAGCGAATAAGTGGATGTTCTCTGTAGTGAAGGCTTTTCTCCTAGCAGCAGCTCTGCTTCGTGGTCTAAGGAGTTGTAACATGCTTAGGCTGGCAAAGCTGAGGATGTTCTTGTAATCGAGGTAAATGTTTTTGTTTTGTTTTGTTTTGTTTTTAAATAGACCAAGGCCAAGCTTTTGTTCCCTTCTAAAAGAGTGAAAACGTTATTAAAAGCGCAGAGGGTGTCTTTCTCCCATTCAAAAGATTTTGAAATCTGGAAAAAAACGACCCAACTTGATTCCCTGCTAGTTCTATAAAGGAGATTTAACATACCCTTACACCATCAGCAGAGAATTCCCATGTTACAGGCATAGTGCTGTCACAGTCACCATCATGCCACCTAATCCCCTGCTGGCAGGAGCCCCACTGGGGCCACTGGAGCGGGGCGGGAGCAGGGACGTCTGGCCATCCCTACCAATAAAGCAGTTCCTCTCTTCTTCCCAAACTCCCACGGGATCACCCTAGCCCTGACAAGCTTCCTCAAACTAGAGAAGGGGGAAAGGAAAGAAGGGAGGGAGGAAGTGGCTGAAACAATCTCCTGAGGCACACAGCAATATAGATGTTGGTTTCTGCCGTGTCTGACAGTAACTAATCCTGCACTAACTTGATTTCTGTCGAGAAAAAAATCCACAGTATGGGAATGTTGCTGAGCAACCTTAACCGAGTGTTCTTAACATATAAGTCCTCCTGTAAAACTTCAGGCTTCCTAGTAATTTGTGAAACAATGGTGATAAGTGTGAAAGGTAAATAAGTGTCACAGCATTTGCCGTTTGCATGCCAATTAGGTTTCTTTCTTGCTCTTCTGCTCCCTTGGATTTTACATCATTTCTACACAGAAGGGGAAAGTGTTAGAAAACAATGCACATTTCTGCAGATAAAGCGTGGTTGCCATGAGAACTGACCTCATTCAGACAGCGTGGACACAAGCAGCTTTTCCTGGGAGAAGTCCATTGTACCGACATGGCAAGAACAGCAACTCCTCACGCTCTAACAAGGATGGGGGAAGTATGTGCTGCAAGGTGTGCAGTCCTCATGGCAACAAAAAATTTTGCACAGGCATGAACATGAGAACGAGACACTGTTTCACTTGTCTATAACTGAGATGTGTCTTACAAGATTAAAAAGGGAAGTTGTCGGAATCATACTGATTTTAAACTTATGCCTGCAAGTGTGCAAAGACAAGGCCAGGTCTCCTTCCTTGCCCTCAGCTTCCACAGGATCTTACAACAGAGATGTAGTGTGAGTAGCCCTGACAGCATCTCCTTAGTGTCAGAACTGCACAAGAACTTTTCACTTCTCCGGTGTTTATCACCACAGCCATGCTTTCAGTTTGCGAAAAGAAAGCTAAATTTTCTGCTGAGCCCTCTATGAGAGCAGAATCCTAATGTAAGAGCTCATAGGTGCCAAATGTCTCATAGACCTTGGTGTACTCAGCAGGCCTAGTCTCACATTCCAGGTTAAGACTATATTCAAAGAGTCTTCTATGCAACAACTTTGGACAGAACTGATGTGAGAACAAATCACACTTACTAAGCTAGGCCCTGAATTCAGGCAATGTTTTCCTGAAATAAGGGAGCCTTTTAACCATGTTTATGTCTTTTTCCTATGTTTTTTAAACTCTGCATTTAGAGGAACAATAGATGAGCAGAGAATCTAAAATAAAGTCTGCCACTTAAGATACAGTGGCAACAGGAGAATGAAAACCATATATAATCTCTTTGTCCTAATATTGATGAGTGTCACATTAGAAACAAGTGTCTTGACTCAACAGAAACAGATGTTTGGGTGAGGTGTTCTTCATAGGAATCTTAGCATGCTCATCCTCTCATACAGCAGTAAAGCACTGGGCTAGTATCTTCTGCTAACAGCTGAAAGGGGAATTCTTTGATTTCCATATTACATATTATCTGAACAGAAAAGGAGGGATACAAGAGGATTCTCATTTGTACTTCATAGAACTATAGAATGGTTTGGGTTGGAAGGGACCTTAAAGATTATCTGGTTCCAATCCAACCCCCCCTGCCCCGGGCAGGGCCCCCTTCCCCCAGCCCCTGGGGCTCCCAGCCCCGTCCAACCTGGCCTTGAACCCTTCCAGGGAGGGGGCAGCCACAGCTGGTCTGGGCACCCTGGGCCAGCGCCTCACCCCCCGCACAGGGAAGGATTTCTGCTTTAGATCTCATCTAAATCTACCCTCTTTCAGTTTAAAACTGTTACTCCTCATCCTATCGCTACGTGCCCTGACCCAGAGTCCCTCCCCCCCTTTCCTGTCCCCCCTTTAAGCCCTGGGAGGCCGCTCGAAGGGCTCCCCGGAGCCTTCTCTTCTCCAGGCTGAACACCCCCAACTCTCTCAGCCTGGCCTCATCAGGGAGCTGCTCCAGCCCCCCCAGCATCTCTGTGACCTCCTCTGGACCCGCTTGAGCAGGTCCATGTCCTTCTTATGCTGGGGCCCCAGAGCTGGCCCCAGCACTGCAGGTGGGGTCTCACGAGAACGGAGCAGAGGGGGAGAATCCCCTCCCTGGCCCTGCTGCCCACGCTGCTCTTGATGCAGCCCAGGACACGGGTGACTGGGCTGCGAGCACACATTGCTGGCTCACAGTCAGTTTTCCACCCACCAGTACCCCCCAAGTCCTCCCCCTCAGGGCTGCTCTCCATCCACTCCTCACCCAGCCTGTATTTATGCTTGGGATTGCCCCCACCCCTGGGCAGGACCTTGCACTTGGCCTTGTTGAACTCCATGAGGGTTGCCTGGGCCCACCTCTCCAGCCTGTCCCGGCCCCTCTGGGTGACATCCCGTCCCTCCAGCCTGTCAACTTCAGCTATTTCAGTTCAGTTATTTAGGTGGAATTAGTTGTACTTTTACAGGAAGACATGTGTGCTTGTTTTATTTTCTCTTGTGGCTGGGAAGCTTGCACACTGTTTGCTTTTCCCACAATGTATAACACAGTGTGTATTTTTCAGTTATTTGTTTAGATTAAGGAAAATGAGAAATAGAAATATTGTGCTATATTTCTCAATCTTCTAAAACAATTTTTGAGGAAAATTGTCCTAAAACAAATCTTACCTCGTATTACAATATTTTATCATGGTATTGTATAGCAGAGCATATAATGTGAAGCAGCAGTTCCTGTGCCAGCTCAAAAGCCAACACTCTGATCTGCCACTTCAATAGAGGAAAGGGACTGGGAGAGAGGAGTGTGAATAGTAAAGTGTGGCAAATTAGAAATATCAAGCAATTTAGTTACAAAGCTCACTTCATAAGTGAGCAAGTATACTTACATTCTATTCAAAGGCAGACTTTTCCTCCCTCAGAAAAATGAGGGCTTGTTCTGTAAGATTATCCTACATTTGAGCAAATGCAGTAATCCATGCAAATGTAAACATAACATCTTCCTTCAGAAGTCTGTTTCTAACTAAAGAAGATAAGCGGATTGTTTGGAACAACCAGACTTACCCTGTTCAGAAAAAAAAAAAAAAAAAAAGGAATGTGAAAACATTAATTCATTAATTGAGGCCCTAGTAAGACAAATTCCCAACAACCTGGCAACTGAGATACTTGAGGAAGGGCACTGAGCAAGTGCAAGATAGAATTACATCTTTGCATTACAGAGGGACACTACTGAAAAATGCAAAAATGCCTCACTAGATGTGTCCTAAGGAAATTTCTACATTCAAAGCCTGTTCTGCACCTGTTTTGTTGTCAAAAGATTTCTGTTTCCAAATAACTCTAAGAAACATGAAACTTAATTCAGAAAATTAAATTCAAAATAAGGCATTTATCTCTATACTATGCATAATAGTAGCTTCTAGAAGTACTACAGAAGCCTACATGAAACCTAGATGTGAGATTAAGAATATATTCCTTGCATGTGCTACAGAACCTTTTTTTGCTAGGATTACGTATACTTCTTTACAGTTAGAGGTCTACAGGCTACTATCTGGCCCAGCCAGAGGTACGGGACACAGATTAGAGCAAAAACTGACAAGAATGCAAACTGTTTGGGGATCTGTAGTGGATGTGCCATTCTGAAGGAGACTGCAGCATGTGCTTCCAGCTGCCCTTTTTAGAAGAGGCTAAACCCACTGTCACAATTTATATGGAATATCATTTTCATTCCCCAGTGCCACTGTTGCTCTTCTATATAAGGAATAACAGCGAGGAAGCAATATTCTGGTTTCTTTTTATTCTTTCTAGTGTGTAGCAGGTAAGCCTTGACTTTAATTCTTTTAACTATTTGACCTGTATCACTCTCAGGTACCAAATTACAGTTCCTTGAAGCAAAGCGCAGCGCGCTTTACAGAGTTTTATTTTAAGAAACATGAAAGATTACAGATTTATTGTAAAAAGGCAAAAGGGAGCAAGACATTAATAGTTTGTGATGCATTTGCTGCCAAAGAGAGATACTCATTAGAAGAACACAGATTCAAGTAGAGTTCATGCAATAAATCTCCCACTGGAGGGAGTTGTCTGGTCACCGTGAGCTGCTAGCTGTGCTACTTGGAGAATAATTATCCTGCAAAGACCAGAAACACCACATGAATTCCTGGAAGCCTTGCTCTCAGCAGTGTCTCTTAGAATTGAAATCTCAAGTCTGAAGATTAAAATGCCTGTCTTGTCATTCGTATCTCCATAGTGTGACAAGCTATTCCAAACACAGGTGCATGCAAGGGAGTTCTATTTACTTAGCAGATTTTGACCTCAGGGAAATTTGATTTCATATTCACTAATTGAGTTTCAATGAAATAAATTTACTGGTTTGCTCCATGTACACATCATAATCCAAATGGCAAGACAGGAAGGAAGATACTAGCAAGAAATACACCTTGCTCCAAAAGATTTGTTTCTCCTTATCTATAAATGTACTTTTTTTTTTTTTTTCAGAAAGAAAACCAGTTATACATATAGAGGGAAAAAAAAAAGAAAGGATTGCCTACACTAAACCACTATTTTAAAAATGGCCACTTATATTAAAATGACTTAAATTCTTAAATTCTAGTTACTAAGGTAAATACCATCATCCTGTGAAAGCAGAGGTGGCACACTGACTGCGTTAAACACCATATTTGAGTTTTTCAATGACTTGTTCCAGCCTGATGACTCCGAATACCCTGAACTCAATGCCCAACTACCTATACAGGGAGGTTAGCCAGTAAGAAACATAAATTACAAGCACAGCTCCGAACTTCAGTGTCTCTCTGGTCTCAGCACTTACTGTCTGCTTGGGCACATGACAGACTGAGCCTTTGTGAGCATGCAGATGGAAAAGCAGCAGCTCTTTTTCTACCATAGCCAGTCAGCTGGGATTTAGGAGGTATGGGTCAGCTTAAAGCCATTCTCAAACATGAGAGGATTCGAATGAAAAGATGCCCTTTCCAGCAGGGTCTGAAAAGCCAGACCATGGGACAGGCTCTGATGGCTGCTGCCAGGAGTCTGCCACTGGGCAGCAGGGGTGTGAGCTCCCCTCCATGAAAGAAAGAACAAGCAAGAGGTAGCCTGGCTTTCTAATCCCACAGGAAAAATATCTTGGGCTGGGAAATTTGAATCCGATATCTGCTTTGGAGACTGCTTAGGTATCTTGAATAAAATTTACCTGGTCATAAGACAATATGTATAAACGTATACATAAAATTTAGAATGTGTATAAACACTAAAACGTGAAGTACTTCTCATGTCCTTGCTGATGGAAGTGAGTTACCATCTAACTTTCCCTTCTGGGATGGAAAATAATAGGGAATAAAGCCCTTGCACAGACCTGGGCATCAGTAACTGGTATGTCTCACAAGTGTCAGCTAACAGCCTGTTTCTGGAGCCTTTCTCTCCCAGAGGGGTGACTCCTCTTTCTGAAATATTTAACCAATGCAGCTTCGAGGCAGAGACAGGTTGGTCTTGCACAAATACCTAAAACACTTCTTACAACGCTTCATTAGGAGCATTTTCTGGGAGGTAGCATGAGCTATTGGCCTACACTTCTCAGGAAAGGTAGAGATAGGGGAATGTCATATCCCCTCAACATATACTAAACAAAGCGGTGTGTCAGGTAGAGCTGTCCTGCAGGGCAGATCTTAAAATCAGAGTGGAGATCATTCAGTCTACATCTTAGGAGCCTTCTGTACAGCTGGAGCTTAAACAAAATGCATTGGAAGACACGATGGCCACATTAGCTATGAATATAGCTGACTAACTGAACTATACATTATGCAGGAAGCCACAGATTCTGTCTAGCTCCTGTGGGCAGTGACAAGTAATGAAATACATTTGAATTTGCTTTATCCTTTACATGATAAGCAAAACCAGAGAGTACTGAAATATGCCAGCAGTACACACAGTTTCATTATATACATCTCGCTAATTGCATTTCAATTTACTCATATGGGGTACAAAAAAAAAAAAAAAAACACCAAAAAAAAGAAAAACAAACAAACAAACAAACAAACCCAAACAACAAAGAGGAACATGAGAATGAAAATGTATATTTGTAAAACTTTTTTGATCCTTGATGATTAAGAATAGTGACCATAAAAGCTGAGGTTGGCTGAGCTGATCACTTTAAAGACTACACTATAAACCTCTTTAATGATTTAACTACTGACACAATGAGCAGTGGTAAGTGTAAATATTAAGTGCTCTTAAGAACTCATTATTCTCTGAAATGTTTAAGATACTTGTCATATTTTTAATATGTTGTATATTAGGAAAGCTTAATATTTCCATAATTTCTCTAAAGATAATTTCTTTTGATTACAAACTGCTGGTGAGCCTTATGAGGCCATGAAGTCACATGGAATACTGCAAGCACACAAGTCTGCAGACAAAACCCCTTCTATTTCTCATATAAAAATAAAGGCTCAAGCAAGTTCAATGATCACACATTTACAAAGAACAGGTTATTTCTAGAAAAATGACATCAGCTAAAACCTCTAAAATCCATCCCAAAGGAACAACGAATGTTGAACATCAGCTACTACTTTACAGAATGAAAAGGGTAAGGGCCAAGTCCTGAGCACTGAAAGAAAGAAAGAGAGTGACATTTTTTCGTACTAGTCAATAAATCTAATTACACTGGAGAAAAAATATGGAGGAAAAGGAAAGACAGAATCACGTAATATGGATTTTCTCTTAAGCAATTACTAAGAATTCCTAAATAATTTTTAAATAAAAAACTTTGCATTACATGATAAAGTTTTCCATGCATTTCCATCCCAGCTTTATCAATCTTCACCGATATGCTACCTACAAAGTATAATTTCAGGAATAAAGAGACTTGTCTATGCATTTGTTCTTAATAGGAAAAATCAAAGCACTTAACAACAGTGTTAGATCTGCAGAAGGAAACATTGGGAATTAATGTTTAGAATTTCCTTAGTCACCAAGGGACCCTTTTCACCACCTCGGTGACAACACTTAGTGACCTGCATTCATTTGACAGGTTAGTATCTATTTCTTTCCATGAGAAGGAGCAATAGCATGATGCATTCTGCTCTAGAAGTCAATATTTTCAAACTCAACACCAGAAAAATAGTCAGGTTTGGGTTGGGTTTTTTTTGTCGTTGTTGTAGGGTTTTGTTTTGTTTTGTTTTGTTTTAATTCACCCCACAGGATGGTATCATTAATAATGTCAAAGAGTGTGAGATTATACAGTCACTTAATGATTTTTTTTCTCTGCTGCTTAATTGTTTTCAGGCTGCTCTCAGGTCTCATTAAAGATTGTGTCACTTCTTAGAATACTGTAATTAGTAATTTTAAGGCTTTGCTATGATCATCACCTTTCTTTAACAACTATGTGTCTTTAGTACTTGATTTTGCGCTGGGTGAAATCTCTTTAAAATACTTCAATTATATCCCTAAGAAGAGGCCAAAACTATACCTGTATTATAAAATATTCAGAAGTCTCTTACCTACTTGTGTAGTGAGATGATAGCAAATTTCAGTTAATTTGATAAAAAAAGAGTTTGGAATTTTGGAATTTATATTCCTTGTTTTAAAATCAACCATAAATGTGAGCTACTTACCACTCTTGTTTGATAGTGTAGTTTTGTTGTTATTTGAGCCCAGAGGGCAACAGAGCACCACACAGCCGCTCACTTCCCTCTCCCCGCTGGTGCTGGGAAGGAGAAAATGAACCATAAAAAGCTTAGGAGACCAGATAAGGAGAGAGGGAGGTGTCCCAGTCATTACTATCACAGGTAAAAGACAGATTCCTTAGAGGAAGAAAAAAAGAACATCACTTTAATTCAAACACTAACAAAACCAACACCTAACAGACAAAGTGGGGACAGTGAGAAGTGCCACCACATCCAAAAAAACACTTCCCCCCACCCTTCCCTTATTCCCGGGCTCAGCTCTGCTCCTGATCTCTCTCCCTCCTCCCCCAGCAGTGCAGGGGGCAGGGGATGGGGGTTACAGTCAGCTCAACACTCCTTCCTTCTTGAGAGGTGGGGTGAACGCCGCACATATTCCTCCCCTGCTCCACCGGGCTCCCCTCTCATGGGAGACTTCCATGAACCTCCTCTGGTGTGGGTCCTTCCCATGCTGCCCCAACATGGGTCACCCCCTCATGTTGCAGTCCTCCCAGTGCCAAACCATGACAGCGGGGGCTGCTTCTCCCCTCAGAGTCCCGGCCTCCTTCAAGTGCAGCCACCTGCTCCGATGTGGGCTCCTCCACAAGCCTCAGATTGGCCTCTGCTCCACCACAGACCTCCATGGGTGAGAGGGGGGTGGCCCTTCCCTCTCACCACGGGGTGCAGGGGGGCTCTGCTCCAGCACACCTCCTCTCCCTTCCTTCTCCTTTATTCCGTTGACCTCGGTGTTCACATAGGTGTCCTCCTCGCAACTCCTCCTCACAAGTCTCAACCCTCTCTCAGGTTCCCCTTCTTAAATACATTATTGCAGAGGTGCAGCCACTGTCAGTAATTGGCTCAGTCTTGATGCAGAGGTGGGCCTGACTTGCACAGGTCCCAGCACTGGTAGCAATAAAATATCTGCTTTTTCAATTAATTTTTTAAACACTGCAATAATATCCTTATGCAATTTATAATAGAAGTTACACTACATTATGGACACAGAATGCAGAATTGTTACTTGGGTTTCACAACAGAGATTTTTATAATGGCTTTTAAATTTGTTAAAAATACCTGACCATATAAGACTCCTCAGTATGTGGCATATGTCCCTTCTATGGCTGGGAATACTTAGAAATGAGGTTTGCTGAAATCAATGGGAAAGACCAGAATCTGTTTAGAACCATTTTTATGATGGACCACAGTCATAGCATGTTTCATCTATGAATATTATCAAAGCACCAAATAAGTGGTCATGACATCCTTAGATATATGAAAGGATGGAGGAACATTCCAGCTTTCCCTTATTTCTTGCTTTATTATTGAGTTTCCTTCTTACTGTCTTTCTGATGCAGTTTAAAAAATGCCAGATATCCATTTTACAATATCTTAAGTAGAGATACAGCTTTTGTTAACCTGAACGTCCCTTTCACAAATCAGTAATGAAACTATATGTAATTCATGCTCAAAAGAACAATTTCTAATCCTAAAGCCAAAATAGCAAATGTATATTTAAGAGCGGCATTATACCTAATGGAAGATTAATGTGAGAAGAGGACAATCTCAAAATTTAAATACCCCAAGCATTCAATATTTTGAAGATATTGAAAGTGGGAGACTTTCATGTTATAATTATGTTCCTAATTTCATTATTCAAAATAAAACATTTTAAAATGGTAGATAATTAGGCTGGCTAATGTGGGAGGTTTTTTATAGTTAATATCCTTCTCTATACTATGTATATTTGTACATATATATATTTCTCTTAAAACTTATGGAGAATTGGGTGGACGAGTATAGCTAGTAGCAGAATTTACAGATATACTACTAAAACCAGACTATCACTGCATCATGGAAACGTAAGGCCTTTTTACACTCTGAAAAAAAAGGCTGTATGAGAGCACCCATGGTGTAGCTATTTAGTAACAGTAAAGCTGGACTGAACTGTAGGAAATGCTGAAACAACCATCTGTATGACAACATAAAGATGGACTTAGAGGTGAAAATTTGCAGGTAATTACTGAATAATTAAATAAAATAATGTATTTAATCTGAAAGAATTGCAGTGATTCCTTTGGCTGAATGTAATTTGTATGCAATTTTAATTGCTAGGAACGTGAAAATCTTTAAAGGTACAGAGGCCAGATGAGTAAGAGATGGATGAAGGTGAAAAGAAAGAAGACTAGAAAAGTTTTTGGACCATACCTGAGTAAAGACTTAGTTCCCTTAAATTTTAGGCATCCCCACCACTCATTCAACCCAGGACAGAACCCAGAGTTGAACACGTCAGTTGCTGTGCGCTGGGCTGGGCGGGCCAAAAGAAGAAGATCCTAAACATCTGTTAATATCTTAAATTCTTGAGAACAGAATGCTTTGAGGAAGACTCACTCTAGACATGTCTGTTTCTTTAAATCTTTCTCTAAGAGTTAATAAGTGTTTGATAATGGTCACTGTCAGCAAGGATACAAGGCAAGATATACCTTTTAAGCTGAGACTAAGTATGTCCTATACTGTGTATGCTGAGCAGGAATCTATCTACATTGGGTCAAATGCTATGCTGCGCATAGCACCGAGTTCCAAATCCCACCATATGCTAGTCCGTAGGATCCCACGAGGCACAACAAGCCTTCCTAATACAGGGCTCAATACTTTCCAAGTGGCACAAAGTTGCCAGAGTAGCATAAACAAATTCTTCTTTTAGAAGACTCACTTGTGCATCTTCCTCTGGGCAAGTGTGCAAACCACAGCAGAAGCCTTATTGAGTTTTAATTATTTTCTGTACATTTGCAACAGGATTGATTGCTCTTTCAGTTTAGGTTATAATTTGGTGGTTAGCACTTTCTGTAGTGCGTTTAGACTCCCCTGAGGAAGGCACTGAAATGAAGTTTTCCACTTCTTACATGTATGGCCTTAACCGCTAAGTGATTGTAATGTAAGTAATGGCTGTGCTCCTGTTTCACTGGAGGACCTATGCCAAATTGCTTGAGGATAGGGCAGAAAGCATTGACAGAGGCACACCACCAGGAAGATGATTCCCAGGACGGCAATACAGAGAACCAGAATAGCTGCTTGGCTAATTATATCACTTGGCTGGCAGGAGGAAAACCCCGTAGCAACAAGAGCTTTTTCCTTCCTGCCTCCCATTCACCCAGCGTAAGCACCAGGGAGATGCTCCCATTCATAGACACCATCTGCCACCGTTATGCCAAGTGCATATTGAATTCAGCATTTCGACTCCACAATGGCACAATGAACAGACCATGCAATGCCTTGTGCTGATCAGAATGAAATGGAGGAACTCAAAGATAGTTATGTCAAAATCAAATACAAAATTCAAGGGGTCTGGGTCATTAGGAGCAAGATAGTTTTCTTGTCTTGCTTTTTTTCTGAGAAAACTTCTGGAGAAACCTAATAGTCCTACA